TCGCAATTACTAAACATTTAATATGACATGTTAAATCAATAAGAAATATCTAACTTTACCTTTTAGTTATAACTAAAATTTTATTTTACAATTAATTTTTATTAAAATATTTTTATTAAGTTTGTCGAATTGAAAATAAAATGAATATAAATAAATTCAATATTTGTTTAGTGTCACGTTATAAATATTGAATTTATACCATACCTTATGTGATACATTATTAAAAGTTTAGGATTATTTTGATTATTTATTTAATTTGCATGTATTTTCTTATTAATGTAATATTATAGTTTTTGGATGTATTATTTTTAAATTTTATATAAACTTCTTAAACAAAAGTTAAATTATTGAATCACATCACTTAATAAAAAAATCATTGCCTGATAAAAAAAAAGGGCTTATATAACAAATAAACACCTAAAATATATCATCTTTTTCATTTAAGTACATAAAGTATTTTTTGATCAAAATAAGTACCTAAAGTTATCTTTTTAGTCAAAATAGGTATCTAAAGTATTTTTTGGTCAAAATAGATACCTACACTATTCAATTTCTTTTCATCCAAGTACCTGAAGTATTCTTTAATTAATGTCACATTTCAACTTTTTTTATAACTTAGATGAAAAGTTTGAATGGTTTAGGCACCTATTTTGACATAAAATAATTTAGGTACCTATTTTGAATAGTAAGATAACTTTAGGTATTTATTTTGACCAAAAAACACTTGATGTACTTAAATGGAAAATATAGTATACTTTAGGCACTTATTTGTAATATAAGCCTAAAAATTATATCTCAAAATTTATAAATTATAATTGTTTTTACAAATGCAACAATAAATAAATAAATAGTTATAAAATAATTTTATAAAATAAAATTTTCATAAAATTATAATTTTTAAGTAAATATTTTTTATTATGAAATAAATTGTTTTCATATATTTTAAAAATCTAAATTTTATATTTTTTTAACTTATCATTTAAAAAATTGGAGAAATATATATCAAAATAAAATTTTAGTTATAATTGAGGGGTAAAATAAGATATTTTTTATTAATCTAGCATACTATGTTAATCTCGTAATAATATTTAATAGTCGATACTCACTTTTATACAAAATCTTAAATTTAATAACTATTGTATAACTTTTAAAATATAATGATAAATAAATTATTTTAACAAAATTTATTAATTATTTAGTAATTTTCTCCTATTATATATATAGTTATTAATGATGAATTTTAGTATGTTATTCGTTATAAATTTAACCTATTTTTTAGATAAAAATTGTGTGAATTGATTTTAAGCTTTTTAGATTTAAAAAATCTATTAAAACGGATTACTTAGAATTCAATTCATACTTACGGAAAATGCAAAAGAGAAATTAGAAAAATCTCATGCGCTGTCCATAAATCTTCCAACATATCCCAGTGTGAACTAAGAAAAATTCTATAGTGATCGACTAATAGAGATGAGCACTATTAACGATTAGAATCATTAATTTAATTTATAAAAATTTAATTTTCAAATGACTCAACGTATAATTATAAGTTAGTTAAAAATTTAAAGATAAATTATTTAAAATAAAGGGTAAAATATACTATTAACCACTTAATTATTGCCCCTTTTCATTTTGACTAATATTTTTGAAATTTTGTCAATCAGATCACTCAGCTATTTAAACGCATTTAATTAAGCCACTTGTCGTTACTATTTAACGGAGAAGATGATGTGGCAGTTAAAATATTTGGTATAATTACCCATTTGGTCATTGTTACTTATATATTCTATCAATTTGGTCCTAAGTTTAATAAATTAAAATAAACTTCACCCTCAAATCTTTAATTTTAAAAGATTTTAAAAGTTACGACATATTCTATATTTATAACAAAACAAAATATTTACTAGAAATTCATTTTATGGTTCTCATAAACATCCCATCAATGGTACCTAACCTCTTTTGATTTTAAGAAAAATATAGTTTATTGGCCCATTCTTATAAAGTTCATTGGACAAAACTTTTATTCTACTACTATTTGTAAATGACATTCTACTAGAAAAATGTGATATAGTCTAACATGTAAAACTAAGAAATGTTTATCCAGTAAATTTTTAATAGAAAAATGTGACATATATTTCTTTCATGTTTGACAAATTCTTCCTTTAAAATTTTAAAAATTCATCTCCTACCATAAAATTTCATGACCATCTTTAATAAAAGTTTATAGTGATAAGATTCTCGGTGGACTTAGCATGGATTTTTTTTTTGCACTAAGAGATTGACCTATATCAAAAGGGCGATAAATTTAATATCATAAATTATTGCTTGAGTTATTCAATTTTTAGAAAAAAATGTTTTGTTATAAATATAGAATATGTTGTAACTTTTAAAATTAAAATAAATTAAAATAAAAGGTTGAATTTTGGGTCATTATACATGGAACCATTTGATTTAGGGTTAGGTTTATTTTAATTTATTAAAATTAGGACCAAATTGATAGAATATATAAGTAACAGTGACCAAATGTGTAATTATACCAAATGTTTCAACTGCCACATCAGCTTCTCTGTTAAATATTAACAACAAGTGGCTTATTTGAATATATTTAAATAGTTGAGTGACCTAATTGATAAAATTTAAAAAGTATTGGTGAAAATGAAAAGAGCAATAATTTATCTTTAAATTTTTAACTAATTTATAATTATACATTAAATCTTTTATAATTTAAATATTTTTAAATTAAATTAATGATGTTCGTCATTAGTGGTGCTCATAGCTAATCGTCAAGCGTAGAATAATCATATGTGAACTAATCTTGTTTTTCTTTCATGTTTCACCACGATGAAATCGTGTTAGTTGTTGAACAGTCTCAAAGACTCGAAAATCCTCTAGAATAAAGAGGAAAATGGCATAACGGCCATTGTATTTTATTAGATCTTCTAATGTTGTTGGTTTCTAAACTTCCTCAAACGGTGTTAAAATCAAGGGTAAACTATATATTTAGTCACCAACTTATTCTACGATTTCGTACTAGTCATCTAACTACATTTGTTTTAAAATCAACACTAAACTTATGTTTTTATTCCATTTTAGTCACATGTCATTAAAAAATAAACAACTGTTGAATAATATATTTTTTAAAATTTTCTTTTGATTATGTAGCATTACCTTATGATGATACGTCATCATCATCGTTAATTATTTTAATAAAGAATGGTTAAAACAGAACAAAAACGAAGTTTAGTGATGATTTAAAAAAACAATCGAGTGACCCAAATAGAATCACGATAATAATTGGGTGATTAAATATGTAGTTTATAGGGGTGTTCAAACAGTTAAAACGGCCACCGACCGAACCAAATTACTATTAACCGAATTAACCGGACTTTTTTCTTTAACCGTTAATCGAACTTTTTTAAAAAAATATTAACTCAACCGAATAGAGTTCGGTTATTTTAGTCGGTTAACCGAATTAACTGAAATTTTTTTATAATACTTCTAATTAAATTAATTTAAATATAATAGAAGTATATTTTTTAATTTGAGTTAAAATTTAATTAGGTATTAATAATTTAATAAGTCTAGAGTGATTAACAAATATTTGGATCTTAATTCTTAATAGGTTTGAGCTTAAAATATGTATTTAATATATATAATATATTTAATATTTAATAATTTTTTGTTAATTCGGTTAATTAACTGATTTCGAACCGAATTAACCGTAAATATAGAAGAAGAAGAAAAAAGTTAATCGTTCCCCAACTGAACTAATTTAGTGGTCGACCAAACTAACCGAAAAATAAACACCCCTAGTAGTTTATCTTAAAATTAAATGTTACTTAAATTAGGTGGGAAACTAAGCAATCAAGTCAAGGGATCTATACCCGACTTTAATTTTAAAGGAAAAACTATTAATAAGGAGGAAAATTATACAATAAATATTGCACATCAAAACACATCATTAATGCAATACATAGAAGTACATCACTAATTAAATTATTTTTGTTAAGTAAATATTAAAAGGGTAAAATATATGTTTAATACCTAAACTTTATTTTTTTTTTAAATATTTAACGTTTAGTTAAAATTTCAATTTGATCTCCCGCTATTAAAACCTTAACAACAATACTAATGTAGTATGACATGTGAATTTCAATTTGCAGCATTTTCTAATTAATTTTATTCAATCAATTAGGATGTGACAACACCTATGAGGATAAGATAAAAGAAATCATTATTGTTCTCAGTATGAGTCAAACTTGGGCCACTTGCATGAGATGCTAAGGCATTCTTCCATTAAACTAAGCTTGTCATTTGATTTATTTTTACTATATTTTATATTTAACTTATATAATGGTATCACCACAAAATAAATATTTTTCATTGACTATAATATTCGAATATGACACTTTAAAGTAATGAACAAAAACTTAGTCATTCAACTATACTGTGAATATTTTTTATTATATTGTGCTTAATAACTAATATCATTATTAAGTTAACAGACTAATTTTTCACTTTAATTTATAAATAAAAAATAATTAAATAATTTATATTTTTACAAAATTTATATTAAATCATTCTAAACAAGTATATTTATAATATTTTAAAAATATTTTAAAATGTTTGCTTAATATAGAGAAAGGGTGAACTACAAACGGTATACAAGACAAATTTATTTCCGTCAACAATTGATACAACCAACGTAAACTACTTCTGACCTAAAAGAAATCAGTCTAAAATGAACCCTTCTCAAAATCCTCCCCACCCATTCAATCTCCCTAACCAACAACAAATCGCTTACGATTCGCCGTATTTTGGATCCTCCCGGACCACATCAACAAAATCTATAGCCTTATAGCTCTAAACACCAACAGATTCAAAGGCTCCAAGAGAGAATTTACGCACTTGTGAACGATCGACCATCAAGAAAGAAAAAACGGTTCGTGGCATTCACAATAAAGGGTTACTTGGTTTCTTGTTAAAATTCATCTGTTCATCGAAGATGATGAAATTTGGATGGAAAAATCGATAAATGACTCTCTCTTATCCTTTGCGGTTTAAATAAGAAATGAAAAGGTCGAAAATGGGTGTGAATTGTTGCAAGCAGACATCAAATTTGATACAAAGATATAATAATAATAAAACAAAAACTCGAGCGTAGAGGTACACTGCTGATTGGTTCTGCTGATAGTAGTCAAAACTGAAGAGGTTGGTGGTGCAACCAAAACCATGCCCTGCCTTACAACAGCTCCAAAGGCTGAATCGCAACTCCATTCCGTGCAGCCGGAAGGCTTCCCCATCTTCCTAGTCGGGGTTCCTGCAGCAGCCAGGGTGTTTTAAGCATCAACAAGACTGACAATGATGCTACCAAAGGGAAAAGCATATGCTATTAAGAATTTCCAATACAACACCTGCCATAAGATCCTAGAAACATATAAATGCAACCAAAGAAAGCATCCATATATATATCACAGTAGCTCTGTACATCAGATATGGATGCTTTCCTAGGACCACTAATACATAATAGAAAGGGGGGGAAACTGCTTTAGTAGGAGCCACCTACAGAATCAGCACATCAGAAAGCAATTATCATATCATGTTTTATTTCTAATCCACTTCATGCAAGATAAAATTCAAGTTAATATTCACCAACCTCGTACCGAGTTCAGAAAAAAGAAGGAAAAAATAAACATTAAGAGAAGATTTGTCTAGATAATGTTAAGGACAAATAATTCACCTGCCCTACTCCAGCAACCAGGAACTGTCCAGATTTTGCAAATGCCAGGGAATTAACAAACCCCACCTGTATCACAAGGGTTACATTAAGCAACAAAAAATGAGAATAAAATTAGGTGAAACAAGGATACAACCATATGAAGGACAACCTCAATAGTACTCCAAAAGAGAAGCAAAACATATGAAAAACGTATGAGATTCCATAGGATTAACCAGTGTTCACCTTTCTTAACAGTATGCTACTCATTCTTGTGATGTAGGCTTAACATATATAATTAGCGAACCTTTAGACTAAGCTAGAAAGGTCCAAAAGTATCATCTCATATAAAGCATCTAATCAAGACATCGAAAGCAAATTCTTCCACAACCTTAATATTTTTTATTTGAAGTCAATCCTCAATGCTAAAAGCAATGAAGAAATACCAGTGTTTACCAATGTAGAAACCTCGAATTGACATAAAATGGACATTGTTATTCACTAATCACTATATTTATAACTTTCCAATTAAATTTTCTATTATACATAAAATTATCTAATTTACCGGTAAGAATTCTAATTCCATTCAAAGAATTTTTTAGTGGATCTATTTGATGATGAATAAATTTCAAAGACTATAAAGGGTATTCTCATCGTCATAAAAGTATCTCCAAGCTCATACTTCTACATATCTTAGAAATTGGTTCAATTTGACAAAAACTAGAAGTTTGAGGGTCAAATGAAGCGAAATTGTTTTTGGTTAAAATGACTTTTTTTAAAGTTCGAGGACCAAAAATCTCATTATGCCTATATTATTATTATTTGAAAATAGTCACATGCATTTTATGTGACAATAAATACTAGTACATCCCAAGGGCGTACATTTGAGTAGAGAAAATAGATATATGAAAAAGATAATTACTTCAGTGACTTCTATTTAGTATTCGCAAAAGGTCCAGTCGAAATGGATAATTCAATAGCCTAACGTGCAGTAGAAAACAATGGTAAACTCTTAACCAGGGTATTAAGTGACATTAACTTACCAATGGAATGTCATATAAAGGCCGGATGTCTTTTTTCCCAGTCTCAACAGTCCATAATCGAACGCAACCGTTACCAGCTCCTGATGCAACAAGGTCAGTTCCTCTACAAACACTGATTGAACTGACCCAGGAGTATGTTGACGAACAATTATAGCCCTCAATTTTGTGATCACCATTTTCTACAGAGTAGTATGAAGCAAATTAATCAAAGAGGTTAGCAAGCTGTTCAGAGAAGCTAAAATCATGTTTAAAGCCTGGCCAAAGATGTTCCTTTCTAGATTCAAAACAATATCCTACAAGCGTTTCAATAGAGAGAAGATTAAAAGCAAAACAAAAAAGAGAAAAAACTGAAAGAATCTTTAAGGAACAAAAACGTAACAAAAGTGGTGTTCAAAAGCTGTGCTACTCAGCACACTTCAGGCAAGGCTTAGACTAAAGATATTTTAAGTTTGATTGTGCCTCAAAGGTACTACTTCATTAGACATATCAGACATTTTGTTTTAACCTTTGTCTAACAGAAAACAATAAAATGATCATTTAAAGTATATTTAAGTATTTAGAAGATAAAACTTATATGTACTTATATATGTATGGACGTATTGGACTTAGCTTTGATAAGTTTGATAGGAACCAATTGACAGGATTTATGATGAGAAACTAAAAAAATGATTAAATTTTCCAATTGATCATATTATCAAAAAATGATTACACCTGCATTAGCCCTGGTCAGATTAAAAGAGAACAGCAATAATAATGCGCTCACAAACAGCCACAACTGAGATTCTCAAAGGCCAACTTGTAGGCACCTCTCAAGTTTATCAGGCATAAGTTAGCAAGGAATAGTATAGGTTTGATACTGTTCAATAGAAAAATAACTTTAAGAAACCAATTGACAGCATTAATAAAATGAGACATGCAAACACAAGCTAAATTAAAAACAGTAATCAATCGCTTATCATAAATAATTACTTCAACAATACTCATGGTGAGAATAAAAGCTAAGGTAAATATATATAATGCACAAAAATCAAGGATTTAAAAGAATGTCACCTCAAATTCCAAGTGGACTACCTTCTAGCTAATAAAACATAAGATGCATGATAAACAGGGTTAACTGAATATGTTTTATTACCTAAACCATTATCAGGGATATTTTCACTGCCAATTTGTTCAACACTTTGGCCAGCAGGCAGCATAGCATGAGCATTCTTAACAACGTATACAGGCTTCTTTCTTAATACATTCCAAAGTTGAATGCTCCCATCATCAGAACCAGATAAGAATTCATCATTGTTAATAAAGCAGCAGCACTCCAAAGATGTTGGTGGAGGACGAAAAACCAATCGAGACTGATCAAGAACCTATTTAGCATGGTTCATAACATATGGCTGTCAGATATGGAGAAGAGAAGAAATAACCTGGTGTCCATCTAGACTACAGTTAAATGCCAGAACTTCTAATAGTAGTTCAAGATGGTGCTCAGATTACAATAGATGGAGGGGCCCTAAGGTGTGAATATTAGAAGATATCCAACAATTTTGATAGTAATGGAAACACAAGTGAAGTTTTAGCACAAGCATTACTCCACATCACATTTTTTCAAAGGTTTTCTACTTGGATAATGAACTAAAACTTCAAAATTATGTTTACCTTAAACAACATCATACATCGATCACGTCCAACGGTCAATACACGTTCTTTTCTTAGGCAATCAAGGGTCAACACTTCACTTTCATGACCACATATTGTGTCAATGTAAGCATGGTCCTCCATGTTCCAATACTTGATCGTTCGATCAAACGATCCAGAAAAAAGATCTGTGGTACCTTGCCTAAAGCTTAAACATGATACAGGTTTCTGATGACCTGAGAATGCCTGTTGAGCAAAATTAAAGGCCAAATTGAGAAAATTGCACACTTCATTATTGAAAAACAGGTACAGATTAAGTTTTGAGATGCACTAATTAATGTCTAAACTAAAAACAAAAACATGTAACTTTTCTATTTTTCTTCTTTTACTAATGGGTTTTTTCTTTAAAAAAAAGTATACAATATCATCTAGCATATCAGCCAGGTTTGATAAATAAAGCAGAATTACCTGTAAATGTTCTCTTGTCCGAACATCCCATAGATGAACGTGGCGGTCTAGGCCTCCACTTGCCACATATCGACCATCCGAACTAACAGCCAATGCTAAAACACTTTTACTATGCTTTTTAGATCTACCTCGTGGATCCTTGGCCCCGTGACTTTTAAGAATATCTTCACTGGGCCATTGGTAACTTTCAGTTTTCCCACTCTCTACATCCCACTGTAAAATAGTACCGTCTTTGGACGCTGAGAAGCCCTTCAAGTCGTCGTCAGAGAGAGCTACAGAGGTAACAGATTGTCGATGCTTGACCAAGACTTTAAAGCCATCAGCAGTTTCTGGTTTTTTAATCCTGAGTTGAGTACATTCAACAATTTAAACATCTAAAACGGAAATCTCTCAAAGACAAATCAAATGTGCTCCTACGATAATTCCATTGTTTAAACATACAGGAAAAGATGAATTCTTCTTTTACCTGGAAGCAATGGCTCTCCTAATCCTACCACTCTCCTCAAGCTGCTCCTGCTGTAAAATCTTGGCCACAAGCGAATCCCTAGCCTCTTCCCCGTCCATTTCCCCGTCCCCATCCTTGTCTTCTTTCTCCCTCCTTGCTATTGCGCGCATCTTGTCCAAAAGCTCAGTCGCCACCCTTTTCCGAATCTCACCAGGGGTCTCCTCAATCTCATCCTCATCCTGCTCTCCGCCACCGGCGTCGGAACCCCCCAGAATCTCTTCCTCCTCTTCAGAACCCCCTGACTCAATGTCATCATCCCCGTAGGCCATTTTTCGCCGCTTCTTGCTCTCCGTCTCGAAGAATGGATCGTTTTTCATCGAAAATTTCTTCCCCTTGGGGCCACCTTTTGGGGCCGATGAGCCCCGCTTCTTCTCGTTCTTGCTCTTCATGTTTCAACTATCAGTGATGAAGGAAACAAAATGAAGTGTTAATTCAAAATCACAGGGAGAAGAGAAGGCAGGGGTTTAAGACTAGGGTTTTTGTAAGAAAGATGGTTTATGTACTTATGTCATGTGATCTATACGGCGGGTCGGGTTTCGAATGCGATTGAAAATTTGGATAGTAACTGAAGCCGTAAAAAGAATATGAAAATAATGGGTTAATATCACATTTGACCCCTATAATTCCATCGAATACACAATATGATACCATAAATAAATAAATAAATAAAAAGGAAAGTCTAATCTGGTACTGTTATACTTCTTTCTCATCTAATCTACGCCAAAACTGACGCACCAAAAAATTATTTTATGAACCCTCTTTATCTCGTATGATATAAATCTAACTAATAAAATTAAAATGTCAATAATATTTTTCTAAATCATCATTAAATTTAAACTTAATTATTAATTATTTATTTTTCTATATCAACATTAAATTTCCATCTCTTCTTCAACCTCTTAAACTCTCCTATTCTCCTCTCCCTCCCTTCATTAACCACAATCACCATAACTTTTGTCATTTTTCTTCCGTTCTTTTTTTCCCATGCTTAGGACCTAAATCATTTTATCTTTAACATCTGTTAAGATAACATAGCCATTGTCACTTAACATATATTACATGCACTGAAGATAAAATGATTTAGGTTGTAAATATGGGAAGGAAGGGGAGTGATAATGGTTATGGTGATTGTGGTTAATGAAGGGATGAAAGAGTTTAAGAGGTTGAAGAAAAGATGAAAATTTAATGTTAATATAAAAAAATAATTAAAAATAAAGTCTAAATTTAACCACGATTACAAAAATTACTTATATGTTTTAATTTTATTGGTTAGGTTTATACCTTACCTGATGAAAAAAGTTCATAAATTAATTTTTCCATAGTAACGTTAGGAAACTACTCACTTGGCAATATCACGACACTCGAGACGGAACTACATAAGATATGAGAGTGGCACGGCCTCCTCAACTTTAATTATTTTTTAGTAAGTAACATATTTAGTCACCCAATTATTTTTTTTTAATAACATCATGACACTCTGACGGAACCACGTAAGATATAAGAGTAACAAGGCCTCCTCAACTTTAATTATTTTTTAGTAAATAACATATTTAGTCACCCAATTATTGTTTTGGTTTTAATAACATCATGACACTCTGGACGGAACCACCTAAGATATGAGGGTGGCACAACCTCCTCAACTTTAATTATTTTTTAGTAAATAACATATTTAGTCACCCAATTATTGTTTTGGTTTTAATTTGGTCACCCAGCTACTTTTTTAAATCATCACTAATGTTATGTCTTGGTTTCATTTTGTTCATCTGTCATCAAAAAAATTAGCGGTGATGCTTAAGTGTCACCATAAAATAATGTCATATCATCATTAAAAGAATATCATGTCAACAACTCCGTTAATTTTTAATTACGTGTGATCAAAATGAAACCAAATCATAACAAGTGAGAGTTGGGTGACTAAATACGCAATTTACCTATTATTTATGTAAGTTACTTATCGGCTTTTTGGGTAAAGTATACAGATGGTCCCTCGACTAAGGGTGATACTTTGTTGAGTCCCTCGACTATTAAAAGTTACAAAATAGTCACCAGACTATTCATATGTTCCAAACTCGTCCCTTTCCGTTAAAAAGTCGACTGCAGTCTGAGTTGAATGTCAATATGTTGATCGAGATATGATAAAATTTAATCCCAAAATCTCAAACGATTATCATATCCCAATCAACATGTTAACATTAAGTTCAAACGACCGTCAATTTTTTAACGAAAAATGTCGAGTTTAAAACATATATATATATAGTCAAACGACCATTTTGTAACTTTTAATAGTCAAGGGAATCAACAAAAAAACTTTATAATTGAGGGATCATTTTGTAGCTTTTAACAGTCGGTACCCTTTGTATACTCTGCCCTTATTTTTTTTAGGTAGTAAAGTTTCGAAACTAAGCACATTAAGCTTTCTCCCCCAATTTTTTTTGGTATACATATTGTTTATGTCCTTACACGCTTTGAAATTAGATAAATGAAACTCTCTAGCTCTCTAACACTTCCTACCTCCACACTAGTGTTGAATATCCCTCAACTTATGCATAAAAAACTGTAATCTGATGAAAAAATGAGCAAATGAGGAGAGATTTGGAACAACAAGAAGGTTCTAATCAAGAACTTGAAGAGTTTGTAAACTTTCAGATCAACACCGGTGACCAAACATAAATTTCAATGAAAGACTTGTTTGAGTATGGATTAAACAAAAATATCTTAAAAAGAAAAGTAAAGACAGACAGGTACATCAGCTAATATATTGCCTCAATTGAATCATCAAAATTTTGACATTTGAACACACAAAAGGCACAAACTTGTTTGTTACATCCCAATACCCCATTTTTGGCCACTTTCTCACCTCCTTCATCTTGTACATGTAAATGTTAAAGAATTAAGAAAGAAAAAGGCCACAATGAATGAATATATATATATATATGGTAGCTAGCTTCTCTTGCAAATTGCTTTATCAGTGTAAACTCTACATCTCTGTAAAAACCAAAAGCAAAAATTGGGTCATACTGGTTCCTTAATGTGATCCCAGAACATTCAATCTGTCTTCATTTCGAGCTCGGCAAAGAGGTGCATGCAGAAGGGAGTTCAGTCATGGTACTCGCTCATCCAATCTTCACCAATCATAGAGCTGTCAAAGCTGATCTAAATACCAAAATCTCACCTAATTTGTTCAAACATGAACTAGATCAATTCGATGTGATCACTAAAAAATTTAACTTTGAAATGATCAACTCAAAAACGACTAAATTCAACTAACTAGAAAGAAAATGACTCGAACCTAAAATGGCTTAGACCCAAATAACTAAAAACTAATAAAAGAAACCCAAACTCAAATTAAGAATAGTTTTATTTTAAAAAAATTAATGTACTTAAAATATAAACATATAAGCAGTCTACTAATATTTAATATTATTTTTTAAATTGTTTATGTGCTTTTGTATACCTTTGAAGATTATCTTTCTTAACCATGAGTATCCTTTAATCATATAAAAACATTTGCAACGAGACCTATTCTCTATCAAATATTTTTTATGATATTGAAAATCAAAATGGAGATATGCTATAGGTTGACAAGAGAGCAATTTTGAATAACCTAATTACAGTTAAAAAAAATCTGACCTTATCTACCCAATTCATTCAAGATTCAATATGATTCAACTTTATACGTTAAAGACTTGAACTCGAGAATGATCTAATCCATTCGACGGCCAAACCTTAATGACTAGAATCAGATATTAAAAGAACCAAAAAAATGACCAGGACGGCAGGACCCAAAACAACAGAGCCTAATGTAATCTGAACCAAACCCAACCCGACCACTCATTCGACACTGCTAATCAATCATTGAGAGAATTCATTCATATTATGGATATCACCTCAAACACATAAAACGGTTTCCTTCCTAACCCGTATTCAACACTTAACCCTAGCCTAAGTAACATAGCATATAGTAATAAAATAACACAAGCAAGCCATTCAATACATGATCAATTCATCAAGCCTCTAACAATTTGTAGTCATCATAATAGATGAATATCAAACTAAGCAGTGTATAAATTACTACTGGAAGAAGTGAAATTAGACAGGATTAAAGCTCACATTGCTCCATTCACTGCAGGTAGTCCATGATCAGCAAGCAGGTACGAAAGGAAAATTTCATTCCAGACATCGGGTAAGCCAGGAAGACACCAATGACTACAATCAGGCACCTGGGGTTTGTCACTCCAGTCACCCACATGTGCATCTCTCCGGAAGGCTGACATGGAAGTAACTTGCAGAATGGCTATAGGAACAGTCATGTTCTTTACCACCTCAAATATAGTCTCCGAGAAAATGCTTTGATCCCTTCCTTCGGTTTCTGACAATGGGTTCTGAGTCATGTTGCAAAACCTGCAGGATTTTTCACTGATGCAGAAACCAAAAATAGTAATGATTTATAACCTGACAAACATTTTTCATTTAGAAATTAACCAAATATGCAAGTACTGTAATAGAATAATAGATAACTAAAAGCTTTTTATCAGAAGAATGAAGAACGAAAATAAAATTAGGAAACTGTCATGCAGATATCAAATTGTGAAGCTGTTCAAATTTTAAATGCAAACCAATTCATGGTTGTTTGCTGGAAAAGAGCAAAGGCTGCAACAGATGTGTGTACGTGTGTGTCCCATTGATAAAAGGAGAACAATCCAAAATAAGGAGAGAAAAAAACTTATTTAATTTAGCAACCAAAATGAGTTCACTTTGGGTGTGTTTTCTGAAAGCGCTTCATGGTGCAGCAGAGCCTTCGGCTCAGTCATAGGTGCAAGTGGTCTCCAGCTCAAAAGGGCTGAGTTCGAAATCCCCCTTCCCCCGAAATTATACTTGATCAAAGAGAAACAAAAGGACAGAATAAGCATCTTGGTATTATTGGTACTTCCGTTGCGATGGCTCAAATGTTCGGAAGAAGACAAGTGTTCTGTTTGCGTCAATCGTGTTCTCAACCCATGATGCCCAAGTACTTAATGCCGTTTTATATGCAGCAGGAATTGAAATTCCAAGTTTTACTGAGTTCCCAACCTGGAAGTAGCAACCACTGCCAAAAGAAAACATTTATGAAATTTTCTTACATGGGTATGGAAAAGCACCAGGGAAATGTCATTTCAGCTAGTCATAGTACGTTCATTGGATACTAAATGGTAAGAAAAAACACATTTTACAAATAAAAATTAACATACAACAAAGCTAGTGCAGCCTCACCTGTGTTCTCTTTCAGTTTAGAATATTTTGAATGGTATACTTCAAGCATCAAACTAACTAATCATTCAAATCGGCAACTTATCAATAATAACTATACCAACTTTGGGTTTGTCAAAATATAAGTTGATGTTATTATCGATTGATGATCGATCAATGATTTCATATGCAGGTAAAGCATCAATTCTGTAAAGCAAACCGAAGCAAAACTAGATGAGGCAGTAAAAAAGAGAA